CCCCAAACTCCCCCAAAAAAGCCAGGAGTGCTCAGGGAAGGCTCTGGAGCTGGAGCAGGTGCAGGAGGAGACACCTGGACACCCCAGAGGGTCCCAAAAACCCGAGGAGCTGCTGGGGGTCACGCTGCAAGAACATCCCAAAAAACGCCGGGGCTGCCTCCCCCGTCACGTGCAGCCCCAGATGAGTTGGGAGCTAATGAATCATCCCTGCCCAATCTGTGCTGATGATTAAAAAACATCAAAGCTGGAATTAAAGGCTTACCGGGCATGTTTGCAACCACTGCACCAAAGTGCAGGGAATCGCAGCAGGGGCAGAATTGTAACATTTTAGTGATTGAATTAAGGGTGAAAAAATAAAAATAATAAAAAAAAAAAAATAAAAAAAAAATCTTTTTTTGGCCGTGGTGTTCCTCCTCTTCTTTTACAGCATGGAAGGAGGGGAGGTTTGGTGCTCTCCAGCCCAGCTCAGCGTCCCCACGTTTTCCCATTTTCCCACTTTTTGGCCGGGTAATTTTTCATCCAGGAGAAAACTCGAGGTGGAGGAGGTGGAGGTGGTGGTGGTGGTGGTGGGGGGAAGGTTTTGGCAGAATTCCTGAGCAGGGCAAACTCCCAGCAGCCAAAACTCTTCCATAAACACCAGCTCCAGAGGTGGGGAACGGGAGGGGAAGGAGGAAAAGGAGGAAAAGCAGCAGAGTGTGTGGAAAAGCTGCAGGTGTGGAGCTTTTCCAAGCATTAACAAAAAGGGATGGGGATTGCAAAATGGCCAGAGAGGCACCTGAGAGGAATTTTTTGTGAAGAGAAGCAGAACTCCCATAAAGCTGGAGAGGAACTTTATTTAGAACATAAGGTAGGAATATTAAGGACCTTCTTTAGGAACCTTTGACAGGCAGCATTATAGATATTTCAATAATGCAAATCATTTAATGCATTTAGTTTCATGCCTAAGTAAAAAAAAAAAAAAAAACACATTTAGATTCTGATTTTTAAACTACAATTAAGACACTTAAAATCAAAACAAAAGTCAAACTCCCTCAGATAAGTCACTGGTAGCCATGGTGACTGCAATATTTCAGATCCTGAGCCTTTATATCACATGCCCAAACGATGAAAATGAGTTTTCAGCACCTCACTCTCACAAATCTACGGTAGGGCAGAAAGGCTGAGCCCTTCACTGAGGATCTGCTGCTTCCCAGACTCTCATTTGGGATTTTTGATGCTGTTCCCATGGCCTTTGCATCCCTCTAGGAAGACACAGCGAGGATTTGGGATTTTCCTTGGAAGTTTGGGGGCCAGGAAGAGGAGGCACAGAAATACCTGCCCTGTTAACCTACTTCTGCTCCCAGCAGCATTTACAGCATTTCCCAGCCAAATCAGCAACCACAATAAGCACTTAATGATCAGCAACTAATTAAATATTAACACTCTGAATGAAGGGGATGTCTTCCAGCGAAACACAATCATCCTCAAGGAAGATATGGGAATAAAAAAAAAAAACGTTTAATCGATTTCTTTGTTCCCTTTTCCAACTCCTTCTCTTAATTTCTCCCATT